CCCCTCCAGAGGAAAAAATTTATTAAGCCCCACCCCTCCCCCTCAAAAAGCAAAAATTCGAAATAGCACTCCATGTCAGTAAGTACAATAAATTTATTCAAGTACTGTAATTTTAGTTTGTCATTTAAAATGGATTCTGATGATTGATTGATTGATGTTATTGACTCTGCCAATTTGGTAAATGAAAAAATGAAAAAAATGAGAGTAATTTTTGAATAAATACGGCACAGCATATCCTATTATATCCTGATAGTGTATATTGGGCTAAACGAATAAGCCCTTCCCTCCTCTAATAAGCCATCCCCAAAGTACTTGAAATAAGTAAGTAATGATAAGGGAAATGGTCACTAACTACAGAAGCTCTTGATTGTTCAACAAATTCTTCTTGTCAGCATCTTTGGAAATGAGTCAAAAACAGTATGGAGAATATGCATGCTGGTGTTAGGGTTTTATTTGCCTTGTTTTCACAGATTTAAGTTTTTTTTTCACATACCAGTGTTTGTGCTTAAAAGTGTTGCTGAAGAGAAGAGCAGTAGTAAGAGCTGTTTTACGTTGAGATGATAAATAGGAAAGGAAATAATTTACAAGGCTGTTTGTGCCATACTTACATTGGAAAGTGGCACTTAACTGGAGGGGGGGAGGGTGTTGCTTTCTGATTTAGTGCTTATCTGTGGGTGGCATTTAATCAACCATTATTTGATGTTGTAGGGTTTTATTTGGGTCAAATTTATTTTATTTGTCCTATACAAGGACAAGCTCTTTCATCACAATATTTCTAATATGGGGAATCCCCTTTGAGCACTTTCACAGTTTATCTACCACTATATTGTTGTTACTTTAAATTGATCTCAAGTCACTATAAAACCTTTTGCTTTTGATGTAGCTGGGAATCTCAAGGTGATTTCACCACTTGTCATCCTCGTCCCATTGTAAAAGTCAAACTTTTCGCTGAGAATACAGGAGTTCTAGCACTTGATGACAAAGAGCTGGGAAAGGTATGCAATATGCATGGAATCTGCATGACCTGCAGTAGTTATTACAAAAGGAGCTTTGACTATTCTTTACAGTTTTCCTCTTTTTTTTTAACCCTGCAACGGACTAGCATCCCATCCAGGAGGGAGTAGAAATACTCCTAGCCGCTTCATGCGACAAAAATCGAAGTCACGCGTCAGCCTGATGGGTTTTTGGCCTTTTCCTATCAAAAAGTCAATTGTTATCATAGACATTTCAGTGTATTCACAAGACAGAATCGTTCTATACATGTATGCAGATACGCACAGAAGCCTGTTTTGCTCTCAGATGAGCCGAGTCATTATGAGATTGTTATCAGACAGGCTACCTGCATATTGCAGGGATCCATTCCGCAGGGTGAAAAAAATATAGAAAGTTTAAAAATGTGTTTGCATTTTTGAGCGCATTGTCATGGTCATGATATGATTCAACCTTTTTTCATCCTTTCCCCTTAGGTTATTATAAAACCAATTCCTGGTGGATCAGAGCAGCCTGAACTGTATGATGTGGTGACACCCAAAGCTGGGGATAAAATTCAATTGAAAATTGCTGTGAAGATGGATAAACCTGTAAACTTGAAGAAATGCGGGTTCGTAGCGCAATGTTATGGTCTTTTTTTGGCATTATTAACGCCGCAGGCCGCACGTTTCCCCGCCCACGAAAAGATTTGGTATGAGTCGGTGAGAAATTTGCCGGGGTTCTTGCATGAGGACCCCCGCCGATGTCTCGCGGACTCACGTTGCTCAAGGCCTCTTACTTTCCCGAGGCGAAGCGCTAATATTAGAGAGATTTAGCACCGCGTTTACGTGAATTGGCAAATGTCAGATTCCCTTTCACGTTTCACGTAAAATAGTGTGAACCTTGCTGCTTTTACTAGCTTGCTTCGCGTGAACTCACGTCGTGGCAGATTTGAAGGCGCCCTTGCATGACTTACAAGGCAATTAACTTCTAATCTGAAAGAAAAAGTGAAGAAAACCCTACGTACACGGTAAACGCAAAACAGGTTACTTTCACGTAGAAACGGCAAAGCGCAACCGGCAAACGTGTACAAATGGCGGGAAAACAAAATCACGTGGTCACTCCAGCCGTTCGCGTTTCACGTAGGCCTGCTCGTAGGCCAGGCTTGTAATTGCCCACAGCTTTGCAGCATATAACCTTGGTTCATGCACCGGTGGCCCAGGCGCCGTTTGCGATTTATTTTTAGACTTTTAAGATAATCTACGTGTTAGAATGTTTCTAAAACTGCCCAAAGTATTGGATATGAACCGATAATATGATATGAACTGATCTTTTTAAAAAAAAAAAAAAAAAAAACCTAAACTGAAGCTATTCCTTAGGGGCTTTTCAGCCACTATTTAAACTAACTAAGTGCGGAAGGCAGACCAATGGGCTATTTACAGAGCGCGGCCGAGGAGTTGAACTTGGGGCAACCGAAAACAAATCCAGTGAGGGGCAGGGTAGAGGATTTGAACCCAGGACACCGGATTAATGATAATTAACAATTATTCCACTCGCGCTTGTTGGATATGAGATGATTATAGCCAACTCGGCGCTACGCGCCTCGTTGGCTATCTATCATCTCATATCCAACGCGCGCTCGTGGAATAATTGTTAATTATCAT